ATACAGTCCATTGAAAGTGTGGTTTGATATCTTCCAAGAATGCTTTTGGAGTCTGGAGAATTTTCTTTCTTTCGTTTTTCTGGGAGTGAAAATCAAAGCGGCCAACAAAAAAGGACAGTGGGGAGTGGATAAGTGTGGGGAAATCGACAGAGAAATGGAAGTCTGACCGGGCCCTGGGTGCTTGGCAGGAGAGCCCGCTTCCCAACTCTGCAAGCCGGTTCCAGCCTCCCTTCTGCTGCACTGCTTCCTCCTTCGATATTTTTTTGGAACCTGACACCCACTTGTTGCTTTCTGAGCATGTGGGCTTCCTTCCCTCCTAAGGACTGGCCCTCTGACGCCCATCTGGGTTTCTGTTTTCTAGTTTGGTGTGTGGCCAGTTCCCAGGTAGGGAATGTGAGTGGGACTTGCATGAATGGGGAGGACATGAATGAAGGTGTCAGGGACAGGAGGGGTGGTGCTCTAGCCCAGCAGGGGAAAAGGGCTCCAGCTCCCTGGTTCTCAGCCCTGGATGCCCATTGGAACCACCTGGGGAGTCTGAAAGAATATTCCGATGTTTGGTTCCCAGTGTAATTGGTCAGGGATGCCGCCTGGGCCTTGGGATTTTTCGAAGCCTCCAGGTGATTCTCAGATACTGAAAACTTTGAGAGTCTCATCACGACCTGATGCTGTCAGCAGCCAGGGTGTGTGTCTATGCGCGCCTGTCCGGGTGTATTCTTATGCTATGCTGGGAAGAAATTGGCAGAAAATAAACGCGAGTGCAGTAAGATCAGCACCAATTACATGACAATGTCCAGGGGGCCTGACGTTGCTCCTAGAGCCTAGGCGTGGCCATCTGTCCCATGGGGGATGCCTACCTGTCCCCAGCCCCGGGGAGGACCTGGTGAGCTTTGGCAGCCGGCAGCGGAGGGGGCTGCTTCTCGGTGGGGAAGGGGTGGACCGGACGTCGGGTGCTGTGACCTCCTAAGCCCATCTCTATCTTCTCTGCCCCTTCCCTTTCTTCTTTCTGTCTCCAGCAGAGGCTGACCATGTGGAGGCCGCCATCCTCGAAGAAGACGAGGGTCTGGAGATAGAGGAGCCGAGTGGCCTGGGGCTGATGGTGGGTGGCCCCGACCCTGACCTGCTCACCTGTGGCCAGTGTCAAATGAACTTCCCCTTGGGGGACATCCTGGTTTTTATAGAGCACAAAAGGAAGCAGTGTGGCGGCAGCTTGGGTGCCTGCTATGACAAGGCCCTGGACAAGGACAGCCCGCCACCCTCCTCACGCTCCGAGCTCAGGAAAGTGTCCGAGCCGGTGGAGATCGGGATCCAGGTCACCCCCGACGAAGATGACCACCTGCTCTCGCCCACGAAAGGCATCTGTCCCAAGCAGGAGAACATTGCAGGTATGGGACGCTGCGCTTGCTGGTTGCTGCAGAAGCCACCTCCCGGGTCCCACGCCCTCTGCTTGAGTGTGCTGGTGCAGGGGAAGGCCCAGGGGCTTCCAGGATGGCCTCTGGGCTGCCAGCCAGGGCTCCCCCTTTCTGAGGGTCCACCATCCAGGTGACCTTCAGGAGGAGACAGGCCTGGGGCTTAGGGAGGCCCAAATAGCTGATGGCTGCTTTTGGTGAGGGGACTCTGTCTCGGGGCCTAATCCAGAGGTGGTCAGAAGCACAGAATGGAAATTTGGAAGTCTGGTTGGCCCTCTCTTTCTACTGATCTCAGCTTAGTCCGTGATTTTGAAGCTAGACAGACAGTCTTGGGTTAGAATTTGTCTTCACAACTTGGACGTGTCAGTTTGCCCATCTATGAAATGGAGCTAAGGAAACCCCTCTCATTAGGGCTGCTGTGAGCATCAATGAGCCGTTGCATGTGGCATGACCGGGTAGGGACTTACAAATGGGGATGCTCGTTTTCTCCCCTCTCCTCTCTCTCTGGACTCAGTTTCCTGTGTGTGGAAAGAGGAGTTAGGCCTCTGATCTCAGAGACTGCTTCTGACGTTGCCTGACCCTAGAGGCTGGTCCCAGGCGGGGGTGTGGGAACTTGTTGGGGCACTGTGCCCGTTGGAGGAGGTTGGCCATGCCCTTTGACATGCTCACTCATTCGACCACTGGGACAGCTGGTTTTACCACCTTGAGAACAGGTCTAGGGCCCCTCTGTCCCCAGGCATGGCTCTGCTCACCGCAGTGAGTTAGCATGAAGTCCCTCCCTCTTGGCCAGCGCCATGGCATGCTGGGGCCTCCTCCAGGGAGCCACTGCTTTCTGTGTAAACCGGTGTGTTTGCTTCTGGTTTATACTTCTGAGCCCAGGAGGCCTGGGGGAGAAAGGAGGGCCCGGCCAGCCTGGGTTCCCTCAAAAGCAGTAGCCCGTCCTGGAGCAAGACGGACATCCGAGTTTATGCAGACTAGTCTTCCAACCCTGATGGTTGACTTTGGCTTAGCCACTTCATGGGTCTGAGCCTCAGTTTCCCCATCTGTCAACAGAATGTAGATAATACCAGCAGGCCTGGTGTGAGGATTCAATGAGCAGGGGCTCTATCAGTTTTTTGCCAGTGGCCCTTCTTTCTCGGGGGTCTCCTGGTTTTGCGGCGTGCGAGTAGGTGGCTGGCTGGGGAAACGAGGGCGTTGATCACGACTGTGCTTCCATCATGGAGGCCAGCATGGGCTCTGGAGGGACTCAGGCTTTGGATGCTTCTAGGAGGGCGAGACGGACGGGCGTGGGCACTTGTCAGCACCCATCACCCTGGACGCAGTCAGATGCCACAGCCTGTCTCCCCCACATCTCCAAAGCTTTGTGACGCTGAGCCTCACTTTGCCTGCCTGTACAAGGGGCTGAGTGAGCCCTCTTTCTTATAGGGAGGCTGTGGTGGTATACAGATTCCCGCAGCCTCGTGCCAGGCACTGGGGAGACCCCAGTGGACTGGTTTTGCCTCTGGGCCTTGCCTTCTGATGGGTGCCTTAGTGAGAAGTCTCTCAGACGCCTTCCAAGATGCAAAGGGCTTTGAGAAAAATCTCTGACATGTCCAGGCCGCAGGCATGTAAACACCGGCTTCTCTGAGGGCTGTGCACACCCTAGCAGCGTCTCCTCGCCAGGCTGAGCCATCAGGCGAGAGAGGGGCTGGGTCCCTTTTGTCTGTGTTGGCCGACGCTCCAGGGCCAGTTTCACCTGTAGTATCAGCGCCTGGCCTCGGGGCACTTAGACCTTTCGGAGGTGGACTTGCCACCTATGTATGTTTCAATGGAAAGATCTGTGGCTTTTGCCAGAAACATCCAAATCCTCATTTCACATTGAAGGCATTTCCCAACGAGAGGCTGCAGAGCACTGTGGCAGGTTTGTTTAAGAAAGTGACTAAATGTGATTTCATAAAAGGCAAAGTTAATCTCCAAGGCAGCTTTGTCCTCATCCTTCCACCCCCTGGCCCCCCTGTTTTTTTTCTTTCCGGGTTGTGATACTGCAGCAGCCTACAGTATTTTTATTTTATGTGTGACGAAAGATATTCTTGGCCTTTCTGTTCAGCAACAGGACGAATGGATTTCTTCATTCTGGAAGAAATATGTAAAATAATCCCTTAGAAGTCTAAAGAGATATGTTTGTTCAAAGCATTTAAAATGTTATTTTAATCAAAGGCACAAAACAGTCTACATGCTGTGTCAGCTGAAGACGACCATCCTATTTTAACAGCACGTCATGTGCCTGCCTTTCTAGTTCCCATTTTTCCCATTTCCCCTGCCTACTTGGGCACCAACTTTTCTTTTCTTTTTTTATTTAATAAAAAGGAAAGATTAAAGAATAAAACTTCAGTGGCTCAAATGTATAAAGTAATTTAATATGGTGGGAGCATTAATTATTTTAGCTTAATTGAATTCTGAGGACTGCAGTAGTTGCATTTTTGTAGACAAGCCCTGTTTATTATTTCTCTGTGTAGATTAACAGTAAAGGAAACACAGATAACTTTCAGTTATTTATTGTAAAATAAATGTGTCAATTCATGTGTAAAGCAAGCTGCTCAGAGATAATTGAGTCTTTATATTTTAAGAGGGGGACTAGGCATCACGGGCACTTCTCCGCCCGGGCTTCCGGAATCCCGTCCAGCTGCTGCCCACGCTCCCGGCCCCCGGGCCGGCTGGCCTCCCATGCTCCTGCCTCCCAGCCAGGGCTCCAAGCAGTCCTCCAGCCCCTCCATGCCCTGCTGTTGTCCCCAGGGCCTTGCGGGCCCTGGCTAGTAGCTGGTGAGCGGGTGGCTGGTAATTCTTGGATTCTGCCTCTGGCTTTGGCTGTCCAGGCTCGGAGGTGGCCAGGGTGAGGTGGCCTCGAGGGTCCTGGTGGCTATGAGGGTCCCGCCTTTCCCAGGGCCAGCAATCTTCCCAATGCCCAGGCAGGTCTCCACCCTTCCTTGCTACCAGGTGCTTCTAGAAGTGGGGACTCCAGAGACAGACCCGAAGGGGGTTCCTCTCACCCTTAAGGGAGATCCCAGGGTGAGAACTGCATGGGGGCTCTGTCAGTCATCACACTATGGTGTGGACCTCATATCACCCATTTCCTTGGGACAGTCATTCTGGAGGTTAATTACGATTTTTTTTTTTTTTTTTTTTTTTTTGGTTAATGATAGAGAAATAGGAAGGTAGACGGAGAAAGTTTCTGAAGCTTTGTTTTCTGGAGGGCATTCATTCATTCATTCATTCAGCAACTGAGCACCTGGGGCCCTTCTTCCACCCTGGGTGTCCCCACCCGGCCCCCCAGGTGAAGAGCCCCCAGGGGAGGGAGTGGGCATTGCCGTGAGGATAATGGGCAGAGGGTGAGCTGGCAGCAGTCCTGCTCTCGGGTGCATTCTGGGTCCAGGGCCTGATTCCCTGCTGAGCACTCCTGTGGGCAGAGGAGGTCCTTGGAAGCTCGTTTCAGGCCTGTCTGGGGATGGGGTGGAGCTGGTCAGAGGTGGGGTCTTTGGCCGGTGGTCTGACTCAGGGCAGCTACGGTGCCTCTGATACATCGCTGCCTGTAGGTTTACAGTCTTCATGCTTTTTAAGGCTACTACCTGTGGCATCCTCCCTATCTCTGTCGGGGTTTGGGGGAGCGGAGGACCTGTCCATCGGGGAAGCTGAGACATGTTCCAGGGTTTGCAAAGAGCACGTGGTGGCGCCAAGCCGTTATCTGGGAGGGGCGTTTTGAGGATGGGTGAGGAGAAAGGGGCTTTCAGGGTGCTTGGGGTTTGAAGGCTGCCTGCTGCTGTGTGGGAAACAATGCAGCCCCAGTCGGAGCCCCACGTTGCTCCCTGCCAGCCTTGGGCAGAGACTCAACCTCCCGAGCTGCGGTTTCCTCATCTGTCATTGTGACATTTATGATGAGTGCCTGGCACACGGTGGGGGTAGGTGTGCTGCAAATAGGAGCTTTTCCTGGCCCTCGGCTTTCTCTCCTCCGATGCATTTTCGGGTGGTAGAGCAGCTTGAAACGGTCTCCTCGGCATTGGGCTCCATCAGGGTTGGGACAAATGTCCACTGAGTTGTGGGACTAACTCCACCATGACAGGCAGCGTCAGCACAGAGAGACCCTCTCCCCCACATTCTGTCCTTTGTTAGGCAGCTGTCCCTTGAGGATCTCTTTGCAGGCGGTGCAGTCTGCGGGGGCCGGCTGGGGTTTCGGGGTGAGGGAGCACAGGCTTCGGTGTCTACCGGGTGGAATCCCAGCCCCGTCACTCACTGCTGGCCACGCGTGAGTCGCTTCACTTCTGGGCCTCCGTTTCCTCGTCTGCACCTCCTTTTCAGGGTTATGCTGAGGATGAAATGAGGAAGCACCTCTCTGGTGCAGGTTGGGCCTGAGGCAGATGATCGAGAAGTGGATACTTCTAGAAAGCCAAGCACAGGAAAGTGTGGGCCCTGCTTGGCAGCAGGCCGAGTGCTTGCTTTTCTTGGTCAAAACCATGAAAACTTACCTGGGATGTCTCTCATAGTGATTTCCTACGGGTTCCTCCATGTAATTCCCACTTGGTACTACCACTGAAGGAGACGCTTGATCACAGGAATTTGGTTTTGCCTGTTATCAGCCCTTTCATAACCAAATGAAGCTACAGAGGGAGGAATGAACTATAAGCCGTCACTTAACTGCCTGCCTCCCTAACCCTCCAAGTCCCGAATGTCAGTTTTCTGGAGAAGTGTGGAGACAGGCAGCAGGTGACAGGAGGTGGCACATCCCCTCTGGGCTTGGAGGTGGCAGGCAGCCCTGGCTGCGATGCCCCTGCCCACTTTAGATGTCTTCATCGGCAACCCAGGGAGGACCCGGGATGTACCTGGGAGATTCTCGTAGCAGGTGGAGGCACAGATACGAGTTTGGTTTGGGGTCCCAGTGACCCATTGCTAAGCAAAACGTGTGAGAGAAAAGGACTTCTGACGGGCCCAGGGATTTACATGCTGCC